ATAGCACAATGAACATTATTTTCCCCAACCACTTAACTAACACCCATGCACCAGTTTGACTAGCTTTTGCTACATTAATGTAATGCATTAGTCCTGGGCAGTCCCACCAGCTGTTTTATATCAGGAGAAAATGCAAAGCAATTTTGCGAATGTAAAGTCGTACATATCCTGATATTTGTGTTTTGCAAATAAATCCAAAGGACAGAGTGAAATAAGTATTTTATTCATCAATGAACAAAGAGACATTAGTTATCCTACTATTTACATTAAAGATTTCTTCGACTGATTTATGCGAACAATTAAAAAATATATCTGACTTTCTTTTCCAAGTGTTTTAACTTCAGTGGATTTGTGGATTAAGGGATGGGCAATGTAGTAAGTCAAGTAATACAGCTAATGTATCTCCTATAGGGTCTCTTTACAGCTGCTGTGAGTGACAACAATGATTTGTTTTATTTGTTTTCAACATTTAAAATACTATTAATTCACAGAACTTTTATAAGGCTTAAAGTGTAAGTGCTGGTGGATTTTATTTATTGCTTTTCCAAATGCATTTTTAAAAAATTCCTGAGCATTAACAGTGTCACCATCCTGTTCATGCACAGTCAAACCCAGTTACACATCTGATGTTTCAATGTATTGTTATTTTTTTAAGGAAACATACACTCTTATTTCTAAGAGAAAGTCTAAAGTGCATTGAAGACTTCCGCCAAATAAATACACAGAAAATATTTTAGGATGCATCTACAACAGCACCTACAGTTCCCAGGATTCTTTGGGGGAAGGAATGACAGTGAAATTGGAGTAACAGATGCAGGTTTATGGCATAACATATATTATTTCAGCCTATATCCTATGGAATCACAAATAGTAAATTAAAGTGGGTTGTGAGACATCTGAAAAGAAATGTTTGTGTGAGATGTTTAGATAAACAGACTGATGGGCTGAATAGCACTGCAGCGTCCTGAGACAAGAGGGCACATCGTAACCAGAAATTCATATTAGCAAAGTGCATTTATGATATAATTAAGAAAAGGTCTCAGTTGTGTGGTAGTTACACTGCCAATCATTGGTTTGTTTAGAAAATGACGCACGTGTTTCACAAACAATAAATCACTACATATATATATATATATAAATTAGGAAATGGTGAAATAAAATACACATTCTAAACATCAAGACCACAAACTTAGGCTGGAATCCAAAGATTTATCTTAGACCTGCTGAAAGTCTTGTGCTTACCCCATTGGGATGTTTTACTTTTATTTTTGCCTAACAACCCTCCACCCCATGAGAGATCATAAATTGCTTTTGCCTCTCCTTTGTCATATTAGCCAGATGTTACAGACAACTCCCTGTCTCCTACCCCAGTTCACTGTAATGTCTAGGCCAAAGATGGAGAATCCAGGGCTCTCCAGATGTTGTGGGTCTCCAAGCAACATAGCTCCAGCATAGCTAATGGTCATGGACAATGGGAGCTGCAGTCCAACAACACCTGGAGCACTATAGGTGCCCCACCTGTGGTATAAATAGAAACACAGTACAGTGATGTGACATAATTGCACTGTGTTGTGCCTCACCTAATTCATTGTTGGCCAGCTGGGGCAAAGCAGAGCACAGTACAATAATATAATACCATGTGTGTCTTCAGACATTGCAAGGAAGCTCTGGCAATGCTGTTCTTATAATGTCTAGTTAATCCCCAAGTTTGAAAACTCAGCTGAGCAGCACGAAGGACTGTCTAAAGAAACAAACAAATTAAGCACCCTTAGATGAATGGATATTTGGGTTCAGGCCATAGTCTCTCACTGGTTTCTATTAGTGTTAAGTACCTAAAATGTGTGTTACTGTTTTTAATGGTGGGTTAATTTATGTTGAATTGACATGGAACATTATTGTAAGGTCAGTATATTTAGAGGAATAAATGTTTGACACAATAGTTGCAGTGTACTATCAGCTCAGTAACAGTACAGTCATTGTTTTACTTGCAGAAGTTATAAAAAACTAAATAAGTTTGCAACTAGCAAACTTTGCTAACGTACGCGGTGTGTCGCCCAATGTGGGCAATCACATTTCTAGAGCAATTATACAGACAAGGAGGCTGCAAACCTAAGTATTCTTACTAGTGAATACGTTCTGCTGAAAGCAATGGAGCTTACTTCGGATTAATCCTGTGGGTGATCATAATACTATCTAGAGCAATTACATAGTCACTGAGGTTGCACACCTAAGCAGTATTATTAGTGCACAGGTTCTACTAAAAGCAATGGGGGTTGGCTATGAGTAAACCTACTTAAACCTGCAATGTCAGTTTAGTATATTTGCTCTCTGCCCTGCTGACCTCTGGGAGACAATATATGCTACATTCATCTCAGGCCAACATGTGTGTGAGGTGCCACATTTTATGCTTGTCCTGGGCTTGGCTGTATTCTGTAGCAAAGAGACATAGGGAAAAGACAAATGGAAGAGATTGACTTTCAATCTGAAGTGTTTGCATCAATATAAAGTCTTCAGAGAGCCCATAAGATGCACTCAAGTACTTCCTCTTTAGGACCCTGGAATTTTTTTATGCAAGTAAAAGAAAAACCCTAAGTGGAATGAGTATATAAATGCATGTTCAACATCAGTGATGACTTGCATAACTATAAGAGATATTGTGTATGAAACGGAAAGTGGAGTTTTCTGCCCAGAAAGTGTTTTGGCTCCCCCCCCCCCGCCACCTCTGCAAATATTTTCAACTGAAGCAGTTCATACATACTGGGTTAAGTTCACGCATGCTCGTTGAGTGTATTATATTTGCACATCAATTTCCACTTCAACTTCACACACACAACATTCATAACATAAAATCACTTGATACTGCCTTTGAAATAGCCATCACAGGTCAAGCAGGACAGATAAGGTTTCCGTATGACCTTAAACTCATTTAAAATAAGTAAATAAAATTGGATGTCCTGTGACATTATGTAACAAACCTGCGAATGTGAGTGAATTTAAAGTGACTAGAGATATGCGCAACAGGGAGAGAATGCCCCGACAGAATTACAGCATCTGGTTTTTCCTTAGTGAGGCCTGTATATGTTGATAATTTGGCAAGGAATTAATTAAAACTGGTTATAAAAGATGAATTGCATTTGATTTTTTTTAAAAAAAGAGCAGCGAACTCAGAAAAACATCATGCCCCATTCCCAGCCTGTTGATTCAGTTATAATAACATTACATTCCGTTAAATAATTCAATCAACTCAGTACCTCTCAGAATATGCCATGAAAATGAAGCAGTGGTGCACCAATATTAAAGCATAAATGCATTATGGACAGATAGATATCAGCTCTATCGGCAATAGAATGACAGTGTCTTATGAAGAATGGGTGGTTGGTTTCTGGAAGGGATTTGTACGAAGAGATCACACAGCTCTGTTGATAAGAGCATGAGACTCATAATCTCTGGGTCATGGGTTCAAGCCCCATGTTGGGCAAAAGATTCCTGCATTGCAGGGGGCTGGACTAGATAGCGCTTGTGGTCCCTTCCAGCTCTACAATTCTATGATTCTATGGTTTGTTCTAATGCTGTGTATAATAACTTTGAAGGAAATATCATACTATATAATACCACTTTGTATTTTTTAAAAAGCTGTTGCCTATACATAGTTCATTTGATTATTAAAAAGGTAAAGGTACCCCTGCCCGTACGGGCCAGTCTTGACAGACTCTAGGGTTGTGCACCCATCTCACTCAAGAGGCCGGGGGCCAGCGCTGTCCGGAGACACTTCCGGGTCACGTGGCCAGCGTGACATCGCTGCTCTGGCGAGCCAGAGCCGCACACGGAAACGCCGTTTACCTTCCCGCTAGTAAGCGGTCCCTATTTATCTACTTGCACCCGGGGGTGCTTTCGAACTGCTAGGTTGGCAGGCGCTGGGACCGAGCAACGGGAGCGCACCCTGCCGCGGGGATTCGAACCGTCGACCTTTCGTTCGGCAAGCCCTAGGCGCTGAGGCTTTTACCCACAGCGCCACTCGCGTCCCATTCATTTGATTATTAGGGAGTCCTATATTAGTGATGGGACGCAGGTGGCGTTGTGGTCTAAACCACTGAACCTAGGGCTTGCCGATCGGAAGGCTGGCGGTTCGAATCCCCGCAACGGGGTAAGCTCCCATTGCTCGGTCCCAGCTCCTGCCAACCTAGCAGTTCGAAAGCACGTCAAAGTGCAAGAAGATAAATAGGTACCGCTCTGGCGGGAAGGTAAACGGCATTTCCGTGCGCTGCTCTGGTTTCGCCAGAAGCAGCTTAGTCATGCTGGCCACATGACCCGGAAAAACTGTCTGTGAACAAATGTCAGCTCCCTTGGCCAGTAAAGCGAGATGAGCACCGCAACCCCAGAGACATCGCAACTGGACTTAACTGTCAGGGGTCCTTTACCTTTACTATATTAGTGACAGGTATGCTTTGGCAAAAAAGCACTGATGTTGCAACATAATGCCTCTCAAATTACGAAACCTCTATCACACACCCCTAACACCACACAGAACTGAAAAACCCAGTGCTACCTTTACACCTTTAATTAATGCATTTTTGTCAGTTTTCTAAATCTTGTTGTTTTCAGATATTTAAATTTAAAGATGTCAAAACTCCCAACACCACTAGGTTGCAGCTGTTAGCTGTGGGAGCATAGGACTACATCTGCTTGTTCACCGAGTTACGTTAAGCTGCAGATAAAAGAAATTCAAATTTCTAGTTAATAATATAAATTGGCAGATTGCTAAACGATATACCACTCGGAAATTTATGCTTTTGTAATACAGCACACCAAGATGTGTCTATTCAGCAATGAACTTGATTGATAACTCACTCTGGGTTGCAATTCTGTGCACACTTACCTGACAGTATGCCCCACTGAACAGAATGGGACTTACTTCTGAATAAACATGCATAGGATTGTACTGTTAAGAAGGATACTTTCAGTAACAGCTATGTCTAGATACAGACCAATAGAACCACAAGGCCAGGAAAAAACATTTATCTCTTATCATAACCATATTTGCTTCCAATTAAGCAGACTGAAGTGACAGGACATAACCATTTGGTTTTGGTTTGGGGAGGGGTAGTGTTCTTTGTACATTTTGATGCATAGGCTTTTGCTGTCTACAAAATATATATTCTTCATGAAAAAATTATTAAGTATAAAATGCTTAATATATTTCATTTTGCCTACTTCTGTGACATTCTTTCCTTTAAAAATATTTACATACAGTACAAATTCATTCATCTGAATGGTCTAGGAGGGGATATCCAAGAAAAAAGAGATTTGGATAAACTAGAGTACTATTTACAAAGTGTTGCAGTGTCATTGGCCCTTATGGAAGAACACACTGTGAATGTGGCAAAGCAAAACTATCCAATAACTCAGGGTGGAAAGTAGAAACTGATACAATCTGTTGTGTTTTGCAGTTGCAGTTCATGCTTATCAAACAATCGCCTCTTTCAGTATGGCATTTGTATGGAAAGTGCTACTTTGAGCCCCATAGAAGCAATTGTCTTCTCTTTATTTTCTTAAGCCTAGTTCACACCTGCATGCTCATCGCTTGATAACTTGCCTGTATGAAAGGGCCATCAGATCTGGCACCATGGCATAGATAGAGCTCTATTTTTCCAGTTGCTCCTAAGTTCACAAATTCAGCTAACCGTCATCGAGTACAGTAATCAATATCCCCCAAAATCAAATGATGTGCATACATGTGGTGCACTAGGCCCGAGATAAACACTAAAACTTAAGTCCCTTTGTATTTTTCCTCTCACAGAAAACAGAGATGATTTTAAAAATAAATCAGCAATTCAGAACCACATCGCTTGGATAAATCGACCTCATTTCCCAATTTTGGTAGTTCATCTACGTGGCACACAGTTGCTCTCATAGACCACATTTTTTATTTCTGCAACTAGGCATATCCTTCCCATTAAATGTACTTACAATACCCCATTTTAGGAAAAGGTAGAAGCACCTAAGACCAAACCTTACAATTCAGCTTCACATTTGCCTTCTTGTGTATTATCGCCTCAGTGGTCTCTCTTCTCCAGGAAAGCTCTCCATGAGAGCTCTTCAATACCTGGCCAACCATCTACACTGAGGTTTCAGCTTCCTTCCATAGATCAAATCCTGGCAATGATCCCAGAAAGAGTGAAGGTACAATCGACATCCTCTGAAATCCCATTCACTGGAACTGCCCTTTAAGGCTCTTTCCTGCTTAACAACATGCATCCTGCGAGCTGTTCAGAATAAAATGCTTTCCCTTCATTACTCCACTGCTTTCCTCTATGACAATTTTTTTTAAACTTCCTGGCAAATGCAACCGTGAGGGGCTCCCACTTGAGACAGCATGACACTGCCACTTAGTATCTTCACTGGGACACGCTCAGCACAGCATGTCTGCTACCACCGCCTGTCAACTTACTTGTACAAACAGGATTCCTTCTTTACATGTCTAAGGGTTTGATCTGTAAAGACCCAGAGCAAAGCCAAGATCTAGAGCGGGATGTGGCCTTCTGAACTCTTCAGTTTTCAACCTTAGGCTGCAGGTAAGAGCTGGAAATTGTGAGACACATCCGATGAAGGCTTCTAGTGGGCTTGTAAGAGGTTACAATTCCAATTCATCTAAGCACCATTTTCTTCGCTCCCTCTATTTCCTCTTCTTGCTCATCCTCCAACAGCCTAGTTTTATAATAATTCCATTTTGTTTCAAAACTTGCATTTTGAAAGCAGAAGTAAAATTATGCATAGTAAGGTCAAGCAGATATTCTTAATTATTTTTATAATATATTGTGAATGAAGAATTTCCATTTCCTTGTATAGGCTTTGAATTTTCTGAAGTGCGGAAAAGTTATGAAAGGCTAGAAAAGTTATCAGAAGTCTGGTGCACAAACCAATCATTTCCCAGAGTATGGGTATATTAGTGTCTAGAAAAAGGCTGATGATCTCTCATAAATATTAGGAAACCGAGATAAATCTTTTGCATCTACGAAGTGGACAGTGATTCCTGAAATGGGTACCGTACAGTTGTCTTCTATGGCGAACTCACTGAAAATCATATAACTGGAGCAGAACATTGTACATTTTGTCGATTTAGATGTTTCTGGTTTGAAAATGTAGTGGCAAGTTAAGTAATTCTAAGGATTGGTGAGTACCGTGGAATGGTCCAGCCCAGACAGTCTTCAATTAGTGTACACACAGTTCATTAAACGGATGTAGTAGTTGCAGGTCTTCAAACTCTTGCTAGCAGTTCAAGTTGTACCAATCAACACATTTTATGTCTTTAGCCTTCCGGAGCCGGATAAGCAAGGCTGTGGCACTAAAAATATGCTCATCAGTGCACATGTATTAGTCACGTATGTGAACAGGATTAAATAGGAGGGAGGCTAACATATTGCTCTCATTTTGCAATTAACCTCTGACTACTGTAAATGCCAGAAGACACCTGCAGTGCAATTCTAGACAGTCTGTCCCTCAAGGCAGAAAAAATACACATTTTTTTTAAAAAAGGAAGTTGTTGACCATTCTGAACCTTTTGGTAAATGACACAGCTAAAACACTGCTTAGGCCTCTGATGTTCCTTCTCCATTTTCATGCGGCTGCAGCTGTTCCCTTTCTTGTTCTTCCTGAGGTGGCCGCACACGCTTGAAGAAACCCACCTGCGTTGTAGAGAGAAAGGAAGGAAATACAATGGATATTGGGAGTGACACGGGAATGATCTCTGCCCATAAACACCCCTGGGCCTCACTCATCCTGGGGTATCAAAATAGTTAAGGCATCCCCACAACAGCTAGACAAATGCAGCCCCCAATTTCAAAAACATTTTACCATGCGCACAGAATCCGCATACGTGCATGGGACTTCCACATGCCACGCTACTGTTGTTACACACACAACATCCACATACATAGCCTAGTTGACCCAGCACATCAACAGCGCTTTAAAAATCTATTTACTGCTGAACCTCTTGCCACCAACAGAACTCAGCCAGGCCTTCTGCAATAACAGATCTTTAAAACATCTGGATGCAGATCTTAAGCAGCCAAGTCACTGTTACTATTTTAAAACATTTAAATATTTCCCATGCAAGCTCCTGTTCTGTGAGGTTGGACTGAAAACTGGTATAACTAATACTCTGAGTAAGCAAACCTGTAAAAGGCCTGGGGAGGTCCATTTGAATCAACTAGAACCAGAGCTCTCACAGCCGACTGCTACAGAAATCTCAAAGGCTGCATAACATGTTTCCTTCGGTTCTTTTCCTTGTGTTTATCTGAAGCTGCAGCTAAATCGACAAACTCCCTGTTCTTCTACCTGTTTTCTGCTTTCATGTGATTGTGCACGCGTACCTCTACAACCATGTTGAATGCCCCAAAAGATTACTCATCCGATTTCTGTCTTTGGCTACTGGATTTCTGGCTTTGATTTCCAAATATTTATATGGAACACAAAAGGTAAGTCAATTTAGAGGAACAGGGGAAGCTTCGGCTATCTTTAGGCTTGGTAGAGGTCCCAGTTAGACAGTTTCCCCAATCCACAGCCTTTTGCCCCGCACCTGACATCAAGTGTAGGGCATATACTGATGTTGCTGGGATGTGCACTACAAAGTGCCCCACTGAGAACTTTCTAATGCAGCCAATCAACAGGCTGGCAGAGGAAATTTGTTTGTCTGCAAACAAAAAGGGCACATTCTTTGTGCCCATCAGCTGATCTCCTTTGCGGGTGTACTGCCAGTACCCATCAGTGGATTTGTGCCCAGTGATCCCCTCTGGAGAGGTCATCTTGGGGGATTGACAGGTGGTCAGCCCCACCCATCTTCCAAAGTTTCTTTGTGGCAGAGGTAAGGATCTGGCCCACTGACTGGATCCAGTTCCCCACCCATGATTTAGAGCAGCCAGCCTACAACACCCATCATCCCTCACCATTGGTCCTGTGAGCTAGGGATTATGGGAGTTGTAGGCCAAAAACATCTGGGGACCCAAGGTTGAGAACCACTGATTTAGAGGCTTCTTCCCCCTAGGTTGAACCTACTCAGAAATAAGCTCCACCAAGTTCAATGGGAGCTAATCACAGACGAGTATAGGAATATGCACTCTGAAAAGTACCATAGAACAATAAAATGAGCCAGGATAGCTCAGTAGGTTAGAGCGTGGTGCTGATAAGGCAAAGGTTGCAGGTTTGATCCCCATATGGGACAAATGCATATTCCTGCATTGCAGGGGGTTGGACTAGATGACCCTCAGGGTCCCTTCCAACTCTACCATTCTATGATTCATTAAAGACACCACTTACCCTGTACATTATAAAGACTAGAAGTGCCAGAAGTAATAATCCTGCTAAGACGGCTAGTATGATTACCCAGACTTGCACGGTCATGGGTGCTGGCTGAATACCCCACAGGATATTCGTGGTAACCTAAAGAGGAGGAGATGACAACATATTTTATAGAGAAACAATGTAGAGCGTTGGAGGGATATGCTTTGGAAATTCTTCATGATTCACTTGCATGTGGCGCACCAGTGGGCAGAAACAAACACTGTTCAACGAAAGGGAAGGAGCAAGGTTTTCCTGGCCTATGTTTGTGTGTATGCTGTGATTTGGCAGGAGCAGAATCTGGCACTGCTTGCCGAATTGCTCGTAAGATAAAGGTAGCTTCTGGTCAGAAGATGATCACATAGCTTCACTGACCTGGATTTTGAGTTTGCTCCCACTGATGGGAATATGCTTGCGTGGTATTCACTCACAGGATACTTGATGGCAGAAGTGGGAGAGGCAAGCTTAATCAGTGCCCTCCTTTGCCCTGCAGCCGCTTGCACCCTCTGAAAATATGCTGTGGAGGTTTGGAGGAATCTCAGAATCGCCTCCCCGCTACTGGAGCAAAAGCCTTCCATGAACAGAAGTACAGTTGTACCTTGGAAGTCGAACGGAATCCATTCCAGAAGTCTGTTCGACTTCTAAAACATTTGGAAACCAAAGCACGGCTTCTGATTGGCTGCAGGAAGCTCCTGCAGCCAATCAGAAGCCACAAAGCCCCGTCGGACGTTTGGCTTCCAAAAATAGTTCGCAAACCAGAACAGTCACTTCCGGGATCAAAACAATTGAGAACTAAGCTGTTCGAAACCCAAGGTACGACTGTAGTCCTTCCATTTGGGGAAGCTTGTTAGGGCCAATTGAACACCACCGAAGCCTCCATGCTGTCTAGCTTAATATTGCTGTCTTTGATGGTGATAAATCTGCTGAAGCTCAGGGCTGCAATCTTGTGCACATTTACATGGAAATAAGCCTCAATAGAATACATATGTCCTAGGTAAACATGCACAGGATTGGGTCTGCAATTGTGTGATTAGTCGATTGCAATGCAATGGGCTGGCTCCGAGTTCTACGCCAATGCTATTCTGTATGCCAGCGCCAGACATGAGCCCATTCTGGAGCAGCAGTGTGAAGGCTGCATCTAAAGCTTTTAATTGAAGGCTAAAATTTAATTAAAAGCTTCAGCAGCATGCGATAAAACTGAATGAGCCCAACAATCCACGATTTAATATAGGACAGTAAAAACATTGGAAGCAGATCAGATGCGTGTTTCATTTTGACAACTCTTTTCAGCTTAATTGTGTTGCCCTGGGTCACGCTAATTTTGAATATCAAATAGCTTACTATTGTAGAATTGTGGACATCTTCGGGAAAGGAAAGATTCTTGTAAGGGAACTCGATAACGCTGAAGGAAGCGGATGATTTGAGAGAATAGGAGTGGTTCTGGTTTTCTTTCTGTGATGGGAATGATAAGAAAGAAAATGTCAAATTAGAACCCATATTATTCAGGGGCAGGCAGATGTCGTAGAAACAGCAATGGATGCTTACGTTCATGAAAGTCTGAGTCCAAAGGCGAGATTTTAAATACAGAATTGCCGTCTTCTCCCTCTCTAGGCGACCCACTTGGCAGAATATCTTTAAACATTCTGCAGTTCCGCAGCCCTAAGGTTAAAACAACAGGAGAGGAAGAGCTGTGCATGAGTTTTCAGATGTTATGTTCAAAGCAAACTGGTACCACAGAGCTATCCATGCTTCCATTTACTTCTTGATTTATTTCTTATGCGTTGGGTCCACCTCCTGAGAGCTGCTTGTAATGCTGTTATTACTACAATGGTGACCTAACATGTTTGCTGGTGTAACGACTGCTACACCCTGCTTGGGCACCACTGCAGTGAGACTTTGAATTACGCTGCTGGTGACTTGTGTGATATTCATACCAAATGTTGAAGTTTGGGTAAAGGGAGTCAAGTGTGAATAAAAAGCATATGCTCCTGAACCATTTTTAGCTAGATCTCCCTGGCTAAATTTACCTACATACATTTCCACTACGGCATTCACCAAAATGTCTGGGAACTAACAGCAACTTGTTTTCCCCTGAAGATGTTTATTTCATGTAAGCAGACTGGCATGAAACGACATTTCTGCCTGTTATCTCATTCCCTTTTCTGCTCCAGTTTCTTCAGCTAGAGAACAGACTGTCAAAACTACCCTGGATACTTCAAAGAAACAGCAAGAAGAAATCTCATGTCTTCTTGTTCTTATTCTATTCAATGAGATTTCTTCCAGCAAGAATATTATTAGCTCAGCAATGGAAGCAAGAGGAAATGCCAACAAAAGAAGAATGGCAAACGAAATTGATGGACTATGCTGAGCTGGAGAGACTAACAGGGAAAATTCGAAACCAGCAGGACCAGACTGTCCTAAAGGACTGGAAGAAATTTATGTTGTATCTGAAAGTCAGTTGTAATTACCTAACATTGCTTGTAGGGTTACAATAAGTTTTTTAAGGAGGACTATATAAATTATTGTGAAAAGTACTAAGATCGCTGATGTAAGATTGGACTTTTAGCAATAAGCATAGTAACAAAATTTAGAAAATCATCAGAAGTGGTTGAAGGAAGTCTTAGGCTGTGATAGCCAAAGATTTGTTATGTTGTTTTGGAGTTGTTATGTTGGAAAATTTGTGCAAAATCCAATAAAAATTATATATATAAAAAAGAAAAAAGAAATCTCATGTGTTGCTTGCACCTCCTTCTATCCATGTTTCCAGGTCTTATCTATTGTTGTGGGTGGGGAAAGATGAATGTTCCATGAATGAGGGCACTTAAGATGAGATGTGAACAGATGTGGAAAGAGAGAAGAAACAGAAATAGTTCCATCAGTATAGGATGGAATTATTTTTTGTCAAGTGACACCATGGAAATTCAGAATGCAATTTTTTAAAATGCCCATTTTTCATGAACACACTATGCTCTGTGATTTCATGCGCATACAGTTCTAAGCAAAATTAAGGTGGAGAAGAACAAGGGTGCCTTTTTTGTGTGTGCTTTCCTTTTCATCATACCTACAATAATAAAGCACCTTTTGGACACAGGAGGCAGCACCCTTGAACTGTGAAACCACAAGGTACAAAGGTAAGTCATCAGCACATGATTTTGAGAATCCCATTGTCCTTGACTTTTCCATTCCCGGAAAGGCTTGGAACAATGAGTTATTTGTCAAGCTGGCAAATCAGTTGTAGAGGTTTGCACCTCATATATCACAGGCATCTGAAGTGCAATAAACATGCAGCATTAAATCATCTCTCGCTAGGGCCATTAAAATCCAATATTTGCTACCCTGCAGTGGCTGATGTAATGCTATAACCTCTTCCTCCTGATCATGGGGGAAATGTTGCAGCAGCAGCTGCAGGCATGCATGTTGCATTTCAAATTGCCATTGCTGTCACCCAAATGCAGAGGGAATGGGGGAACATGCCAGTGGCAAAGGATGTAGATGTGCACCATTTGTGTGTGTCCAATGTTAGGATTTTGTGGCTCTGGGTTATCTAAGTCATGTGTATGATTATTCATACCATGCAAAGTATTTACACACATGTAAATGAGTTACACCACTTATTCTGAGAACTCCAATTGAGCTTAGCATGCTCAGTCTGAATCAGTTGTTCTAGTGGTTATAAATCATTCCGTATAAGGATTTTTCTCAGAGGCATTGCTAGTGGAACATCCCAGGGAACTAGAATTGCAATACTCAGGCTCTAAGAGGTTTGGAATTTGAGAAACGTAACCTAGCAAGCAATATATGCTAAGGTCACTGTAAAACGGCCCTCAGGAATCTTTCATAGAGTCGGTTCCCTTCCAACCTTACAGTGCTTTGAATCCTAGAGCTGGTACAGTCTTGGCTGACCACTTATTGCAACCCCTGGTGGCAACTTCAGCCTGCAAAAGAAGAGGTGCAAAGTTGCAGAGTGGTGGCTGCAACGATTTGGATTCTGCAACCCTGCTTAATTCACTGGGCTCCTTCAGAAAGGGAATTTAGATAAAAACCCCATGTAATTTGCAGATTTAAATAGTGCTGAGCCAACACACCTGGCACTATACACCTAGAAATATCACTACATTACATAGGTACCATATAGCAGGTCTCTACTCATCAAAAAGCATCCAATCAGTTTCGATTTCCAGTGAGTGAGGCAGTAGAGCCTCGGCATCTTTACCTAAAGACAGAGGCAGGCTGCCAAAGGTTTGGGCAACCATCCCACCAGCTTGCTCACCTCTTTTCTCAGAGTTTCCCTAACCAATCTGTCCATCATGGTCAATCACGGCTATGCATCTATATCAGAATTTGCTTTACAGAGCAATCCCTTGGGACACATGAAGCATACCTAAGATTCTCAAACTTTTCTCAAACAAACCAATAAACAGACATTACCAAAGTTTGTACATCTCCCTCAGCTGCGCTTAGGTCCCTCCGGTTAACATTGTGACTGCGGCTATCTCCTCCATTCGTTGTTTCATTCTTTTCATCTTGGTGAGGCGTTGACATCTACAGCATCAAGAAGGGTTCGATTATCAGTACGGATTGGTGACACATTCCTAAACACTTTGTGGATGGGTGAACAGCATACATTGGAAATTGAGAGCGATAAACGAGATACCAAAAAGCCCACGGCCATTTTGAAATGGTCACTTGCCCTGTCCACATTCAGGGAACTGCTGTTGTCAAGTGAGCCCACAAGGGGATGGGCTGGTTAGGGTTTAGTGGGGAAGGTCTATGCTGCTGAGCAGACGAGATGAGAGTATGTTTGCATCATCACCCTCCCAAGGTCACTTCATTTCTCTCTGTACCTCTCTTCTGTAACGAATTTGCTCAACATTTGCACAGAAGAACCTCTTTGCCCAAGCATTTCGGCAGATACAAGCTAACAACCGCTGGATTCCCTGCTGCCCCTTTTGATGACAATGAACCAAAATATTCTTTAACATTATAACAATTAACAATGATTTGTATTGCTTTAAACATTCAAGGCAGATGGATTGCTCAGTACATGGAAAATATGAAGATGCTTTCGACTTACCTTAATTTTTAGCGGGTTAATCTCCATATCGGAAGTGCAGTTCATGGGGCCTTCAATTTCATATTCCATAATATACAACAGGGTGTTGTTGTTATACTTGTAAGGCCACTGAAGATTGAGCATCACTTTGCTGACAGCACTCGGGCCATTGTTTCTGAGCTAGTGAGAGGCAGGAGAAACAAATGACCATGAAGAACGATGCTATTTTCACTCTTGCAGTACAATCCTATCCCCTCCTATGGCTATTGTGGCATATGCCCCAACAACTTGTCTGTGGGTATAGCCAGGCAGTCCTATGCTATTTTAAAGGACATCCAGATGTTGTTGGATTACAACTCCCCTCATTCCTGACCACTGCTCATGTTGGCTGGGGATGATAGAAGCTGCAGTCCAATAACATTGGGTTGACCATGGCAAATGCTCTTACCTATCTCAAAGCGGTGTGACATTGGTTCAGAACTGGGCCACCTGCCACTACAGATGTTAGAACGGAAAATCCTGCCCCACTCCTCAGGTCTCCAAAAGCCCTTGTGTAACTCTTTTGTAATACATATTTGTTATGTTAAATACCGCCCAAAGGTTGTGAAGCACCAGGCAGGCTACAGTACAGTGACTCATGGGTTGTGCTTGGCTTGGCAGGTAACACATTTTTCAGGCATGCTCTTAAGTCTTTCTGTTCTGTTTCTGGGGGAGAGAGGAGGGTAGAAGGGTGGTCTCGGTACCTTAAATGCATGAACACACCATGACGTGTGACATCCCTGCATACAGTACTAAGCTGCCTGGTGGACCTCCCTCTGCAGCCCATAAGGCCTTCTGATTAGTTTACCATTCTGGCAAGAGGTAAGGCATGATTCTAGCAGGCATGGCCTTCTGGTTACAGCCTTGAGCACAGATTTACCTCATAGATGTGTTGAACCAGAGGCCCGATGTCATCCTCTGTTTCTGGATTCTCCTTGGGTTGCCAATTAGGAATTGGGAGAAAAAGATGATCCGGAGAAGAAACCCTAAAATTACACAAGGAGCGCACAATAACCACCAGGCACCGTGAGCATGCAGCAGAAGCCGCGTAATTGTGAAATGAAGGAAACGAGGCACTAGCTAAAATGGCACCAAGGCCATCACTCACCCTCTGATTTCGACAACTGCTAAGATGGCCAGGTCCACCTGATAAGATGTCACAGGGCTTAGGTTGTTGTACATGTTAGAGCTGTGAAACAATGCAATGGCACAGTGAGTCAGGTCATGTGCTAATGTCAAGGGTAAAAGGAAGGAGGGTCTACCCTACAAGCAGCATGCGCTGAAAGTACACGGTTCAGTTCAGTAGCCCATTTCAAGTGAGTTGCTTTTCCTGCAATGCCTGAAGAGTGGCTGCTTTCTGAGAACTTACTCCTTTAAATCAGAGGTGGGAAGCTAGTGGCCTTCCAGACATTGTTGGGCTACGACAGGGGCAGCAACCTTTTTCAGCCATGGGCCGGTCCACTGTCCCTCAGACCATGTGGTGGGCCAGACTACATTTCGAAAAAAATAATGAACGAATTCCTATGCCCCACAAATAACTCAGAGATGCATTTTAAATAAAAGGACACATTCTACTCATGTAAAAACATGCTGATTCCTAGACTGTCCGCTGGCCGGATTGAGAAGGTGATTGGGCCGGATCTGGCCCCCAGGCCTTAGTTTGCCTACCCATGGGCTACGACTTTGATCTTCTCCAATCACTGGTGATGCTGTTTGGGGCTGATGGGAGTACAACATTATCAGGAGGGCCAAAGGTTTCCTATTCCTGCATTTAAAGGGCAGCAAACTGTCAATTTAGGGGCCAACCTCTGGAATTCTTTGCCTCAGGTAACAAAATGTGTCAGGCTCTCTCTGGCCTGAAGTTTCATTGGTCTTAAGACAGCCATTTAAAAGAGGAATGCAATCCAATATAAACTCTCTCTCTCTCTCACTCTCTCTCTCTCTCTCTCTCCAACTCACTCTGTACATCCCATTTTGGAGATGCGCAAATCAATACATTCCTTTTACAGCGTATGTCGACTAATATGCTGAGTATCTCAGTCTTTGCGGTTAAATGTAATATATTGGCAATGCAGTCCTGACTGATGTTAGATTGCAGGTTTTTAAAACAATAGATTCTGGAAGAGAGGCAGCGGCCTTTTAAATGCAAAAGGCCACAGGTACACAAAGATCCTCAAACAAGATTTCATTTATGACATTAACGGGCAAAATGTTTTAATGATATATTATTTCTTTTTAGACTGCCTGGTGCTTGGAGATTTCTGAAACATGTGAGATACACATACATGCTTTTAAATAAATTAAGAAAATGGCTAAAAAGGGAAGTTGGTGGTATTAAACTGGAAATGTGGTGTGAGAGTGTGTGTACATGCACCATATAATTACATTGTTGCAATTTAATATTCTTACAGACAATAATATTACTATTATTTATAATTTAATTCTGTTTCTGCCTGTGTGCCGCCCTCCCCCCCCCCCGTTTCAATAGCAGCCCCAGTTATTAGGTGAGTACACAGTGCTAAGTGCCCCATACCTACGAATCTGTAGATCAAACTTCACAAAGGTGTCCATCTCAGATTCCTGATGAACACTAAAATGGAGGCCGGCTGAAAGCTTGAACACAAAAGAAGATGTACAGGATTTAACATCTGACAGTTGGAAAGAGGTTGGTTTAACCCATCGTGTGGCTCATCCAATTAACCAAAAGGCAGTTAGTATGAGGCTGCCTCCAAAACCAGCAAACCCTGCTGCTGTAGGCATAGGGTTCTCCTTTGTTTTTGTTAATTCTTACTTTTGTTCCTGCTTTCATTGGATTCCCAAGGTCGCAGACAACGAGCCGGGTTTTATTCTCAGTTTTAAATGCGCATGAAAGCCTTGCCAAATCCTGCAGTGAAACAAAGGTGACTGTTTTCAGAGAAGAGCACAATACTTATCATTCTCTAAGCACTTTCTCCTTCTGACATATAATGATATTTATTGTCTGCACTGAATTCTTTAGCACTTCCAATGGTTATGAGCGGTCTATCAAACATGACATTTTAGGGTTCAGAACCTGTCTCTCCGCTGGCATGTGTGGTGCAAAGATCACTAGTGTTGTTCAAGTCCAGAGAAAATAATCCATTATCAGGCTGTAATCTCTAAGCACACACTTATCTAGATGTAAGAGAGGGAAAGAGTGATTTGCTCCATTGTGCATAGGACTAAAGAGGAAACTGAACTCAGGTCCAAGTTCGGAACTGTATTGACAACACCAAAATGGCTTCCAAATGGGCAATGCTGCTTTGTTTAAGGCAGCGACATTTCATCAGTACTCTAGCAGTTCAGCTCCATTACTTAGGCAATAGTACAGTCGTACCTTGGATCCCGAATGCCTTGCAAGTCAAACGTTTTGGTTCCTGAACGCCGCAAACCTGGAAGTGAGTGTTCTGGTTTGCGAATGTTCTTTGGAACCCGAACATCCAATGGGGCTTCCACAGCTTCTGATTGGCTGCAGGAGCTTCCTGCAGCCAATGAGAAGCCACGCTTTGGTTTTCGAACATTTTCAGAGTCAAACGGACTTCCGGAACGGATTCCGTTTGACTTCCAAGGTATGACTGTATTACCAAAACATTTATTTTTTAAAACTTCACCTAGAACTTTGGCTCCTAAATCTTCTTTAAGATACCAATACAGTGAGTTGCTAACAACTCTGAAGTAAATCCTGAATGCATCATGGCGGGGGAATCTTGACATGGCAGAATTTTTCTGGTGCATTTATTGCGTTGTACAGTCTTAATTATTGCCATGTTAGGGACAAAACAGCAAAGCTAAGGCACTTAGCCCAGTCCCTTGGGATCGCCCCATTCATTTCCCAAGGTGTAAGAGCACGAGCCTGAATTAATTTAATTACCAAATGTGTGGCTCTAAGCGCCTCAACAGAAATAGCTTTGTCTTAGCAGCCTGGCTTGCTTTGCACAGACTGATCCCTGTTGCTAGACAAGACACCTCTCTCCCAGTTTAGGAGAGGATCATCCAGCTTTATCTTCCAGCTGGCAGGTCCACACTGTTCATCAGCACCATATGATCAACTAAAAGGGATGAAGCAAAATAGCCACAAAAGGTGGCACTTTTAAGTTTTGCCTAACAGCTTCCTTACTTTAAATGCTAAGTAGACATTTTGAAGGAAGGAAAATGATTATATTTATAATGTGAAATTACTGAGGCCTATCATGAAGGAACCGGGATGCTGAGGCAAGAAAGCCACCCCCCACCAAGTGAAAGTTTGGGCTACACTGAACTAGCGCTTGATGAAAGTGTGTGATATGCTAGACAGAACTAGGGTTTGGGATGTGGGAGACCCAGGTTCAAATCCATAATTAGGAGCCTGAAGCTCAATGAATGGTCTTGTCTAAAGCTCACTGTAGTTGCCCAGAGCTGTTTCCCTAGCAGTCTTATTCCAGGTCCCATTTGTAATGTACGGATCTTCTGATCATGTGAGTAGCACACTCATATTGCTGCTTCCCACATCAATTGTTTGAAATGCAACCACATGAGCTAAGCATCACGTAGAAAGGATTTTCAGCAACCAATGCAGCTGATGTTATTTTCTTGCATACCTCTCCCTCCCCAAACAGAAAGCAACATACACATTTGTGCTAAGAGCACGACTGAACTGAAATCTCATTAGTACTGCCATTTTTCATTTTGAGATGAGCAATTGATACCAAGAGAGAGTGAGCCACACAGTGGGTCCACAGTTGAGCAGGGACCTGTGTACGCAGATTATTTCAAAATAATCTGTCTCCTGCACCAGACTTGCCACCACAGGATTTGTAGGTCAGACTGCAGACCATAACGCAAACCCATAGCAGTAAACTTCCATAGCAACCTCCCCCAAACTGGTACCTTCCAGGTTTTGCTGGGCTCCCATTAGCTCTTTCAGTGGTGATGAGACTTGTGGTCCAAAACACACTGAGGAGGATGGCAGGCTGCAGAACGTTGGTTCCACAGCATCCTTTTGTCAGCAACCAGATATGTGATATCAAAAACCCAAGTAGACTCCAACAAACAAAGGAAGACTGTGTATATGGTTTGACACTTTGCACAGTTCTAATTTTACACCACTGCATTGCCAGTTTGGTGTAGTGGTTAGAGTGTTGGACTAGGACCTGGGAGACCAGGGTTCGAATCCCCGCTAAGTCTTGAAGCTGTCTGGGTGACCCTGGGCCAGGCTAACCCACCTCACAGGGTTGTTGTGAGAATAAAATGAGGAGAGGGAGAATCATGTATGCCACCTGGAGCCGGAGGAAAGGGATATAAAGGCAGCAATAAATAAACACAAACTTGTTGCAATAAACACTGCTCACAGCATACTCACTAGACTTACCTCCTTGTTGCGAACTATGCCAATGAAGTCTGCTTGAGGTGGGACGGTAACAAAGAGTTCAGCTTCATAGGCTCCCTCTCCTAGGTTCTCGGCATTGACAACCAGGGTTAAAGGATTCTCATCCCCAATATAGATCTGCTTCTGATCACTGCACAAGACCAATATGGAACAAAAGTGAGGCCTCTGGATCAGTGTTTCTCAACCTGTGGGTTGTGACCTGCAAGTGGCTTGTGGGCTTTATAATAAACCCCAAATAATGTTTGCTTTTAATCCTTAACTGGCCTGATGAATACCTCTTATAACATTTTGGCTGAAAGGCTCGACATTTTAACACTTGGGAGCCACTCTCTGCAGGTTGGCAGCAGATCCAGTGACAGCTCAGTGTGAGGTACTTGTACAGGGAATAATAATAATAATTTATTATTTATACCCCACCCATCTGGCTGGGTTTCCCCAGCCACTCTGGGCGGCTTCCAACTGAATATTAAAAACAATACAGCATCAAACATTAAAAACTTCCCTAAACAGGGCCACCTTCAGTTGTCTTTTGAAAGTAAAATAGTTGCTTATTTCCTTGACATCTGCTGAGAGGACGTTGCACAGGGCAGGCGCCACTACCAAGAAGGCCCTCTGCCTGGCTCCCTGTAACCTAACTTCTTGCAGTGAGAGAACCATCAGAAGGCCCTCAGAGCTGGACCTCAGTGTCTGGGCTGGACGATGGGGGTGGAGATGCTCCTTCAGGTATACTGGGCAGAGGCCGTTTAGGGCTTTAAAGGTCAGCACCAACACTCTCAATTGTGCTCAGAAGCCAATGGGAGCCAATGAAGATCTTTCAGGACCGGTATTATATGGTCTCGGGAATTGTTTGGTATGACTTTTACAGCTTGTATCTTATGCACGAGCACATTAAAAAAAACAAACCCCTTCCTGTATGAGCACCTTGTGGTGAACAGTGATTGAATCTGCTGCTAGGGTTTGTTAAAGGGTAAGTTTGCTTAGAAACAGAAGTCTGAACATGTGCAAAACCATTTTGCAACTGATGCCATGAAGTTGCCTTTGTTCCAAAATAGCAACCCATCAAACTGTTGTGTGTGGGGACCCTCAAAGATAATTTTTGGAAATTGAGGTTAGCTAAATTTTGGCTTCATGTTGCTAAGTACCCTGAGCTTGCTGATGAAGCGATCTCCATGCTGTTGCCATTTGATAGTACATATCTTTGCGAGACAGCCTTTTCAAGCAATGACTGCTGTGAAGACGAAATACAGAAGCAGGCTATGTATCAATAATGATCTGAGACTATGTCTGACAACCATCAAACCCCACATTGATCTACTCTTCAGCAAAATGCAAGCTCAGCCACCCCACTGATACTTGCCAAGATGGACTTCGTTGTAAATAAAACTGTCAAAACCACTCATACTTTTTTTTACATCTGACATGGCTTGTGTATCTGTATGTTTCTGCAATACATTTTTATAGCTTGTGATTGAATATCCTGCAATCAGATGGTTGGTGTCCTTACATTCCCACAAACAAAACTATGAATAACTTTGAACGCACTATAAAAATTTCAACAAATCCCACATAAATGCTATTAAGTAATTTTTTGCTTGGATGTCTCAAGGAATGGTTATATATATATAAAAAAGACTTGCAGTTAAAATGAACGAAACCAACAGCTGCCAAATGTCTAAGGTCCAAAATCCATGTGATAATCAGTGGGTCACCATGCCAAATACATTTAGACTTGTGGGTTAACCTCTCAAAAAGGTTGGGAACCACTGCTCTAGAGCAATGTGTTTCCATAGCTGTGTTAAAATCATAGCCTAGCACAGGCCCTCACCACAAAAAACCTTCTTGAGTTTGGGGGCATATCTGGGAAACTGATAAACCTATAGGCACCACAAAATGCCCATTCCACAGAAGAAAACTGGTGATGTACAAACCCTGGCCCCACAGCAAAGCATCTAAATTGCTCAAAACAAGAACATAGCAAAAGAAAGCAGGCCTCACAACTCCAACAAAAAAAACCTGACACCTGTGACCAAAGAATTTCAAAAAACAAAACAAAAACCCAACTAATTAAAAAATGGGGGGGGGGGTAGAGGGCCTGGGTGGGTGCTAAGTAGTATGTCTGAGAGTGCCACGTTGGAGACTTCAGGCCCAGTGAGGTACTAGCATCACTCTGACATTGCACTCATTAGATCAGCAGAGTGCTTTTCAAAAACAGGTGTTCCCCAAGCACAAAAATCACCAGCTAAATGGTCCATCCTTCAGAAAATGGTTCTTCCACTCAAGTACATTTCTTCAACACCAGAGTATTACAGAAACTTGCCCACCCACCGCTGTAGCTCCCCACCCACTACAGCACATTAAACGTTTAAAAGAGCCTGTGGCAACACTTCTCCTAGGTGCTCCCAGGAACAACTTCATCTGTAAACTGCGAAGGTCATGCAACACATTAGCAGAACTGTACAAAAACAATTGAACGGCCAGCTATAGCAGAGGGCTTGGTATCATGCTGTTTCCAGCTAAACAGCAGAGCCAGAGAATCACAGAATTGTAGACTCTTGAGGATCATCTAGTCTTCTCAGAACTAAAAAGCAGGGCATAAAGAGGGCATTTTGATGCGCAGAAGAGGGACTGCGGGTTCGTGCAGCTTGGCAAAGGTACAAAAATCTATTGTATCTGGCCTGCCTAGATGTAAACTAATTATAAAGAGCTAGGCATCAGAAAACATACAGTATAGAAACAGCACTGCCATCTGCTGGATAAAATGACACAGAACCACCCCATTATTTAGCAGTAACTAATGAAGATGTGAGATAAGGGAAACAAATTTTACACCGTCTTTATGTACATGGAAGAACCCATTCATGTGCACAGTCCCTTTGCTCTGCCCTTCACAGCACAAGCAATCAAACCAAGGAACCTCTAATTAATCAAAGTTTCTCATTTCGCTGAAACCATGAAACAATGCCTACCGGCTTTAGAACAAGGCATGATACTGAACCACGGTTTGAAGTTGGTTCAGTGTCTTAGCTTTTTCCTGAAGCTAGCAGCCACAGTTTCTTGGTTCAGGTGGAACAGGAAACCATGGTTAATCAGAAGACTCCTGAATGCTTGTACCAGAAAAGAAAGAGTAATGGGGCTGCACGTGTGGGAGAAAGGCTTGCACATATCTTAGTGAGATTGTCTGAACTGGGTCAAATGTCTTTACTATACTAATTGCCCATTTTGCAGAAGAGTTAGACTCGTACCTGTCCACAGCCACTTGCAAGTCCGGACGACAGACATTGTCCTCGCCACAGTCCAGAAGAATATGAGCCTAAATTGTAAATAAGAATAGTAATAATTTGGTATATGATATGTGAATTGTTCAGACTATCAGAATATATATGCATTATATACTCCATGCTTTTACCCTATGTGGGAAAGTTAGCACTATTAATGTGAAACTCTTTCCCTATGTAGTAAGAGGGAATAGCAAAGGGCAATTTTTTGCTTTTTGAAAAGCGTACACCTGCTATCCGGCACTGAAAAGGGCAAATGACGGAGGGGAACTGTTACAGAACACATTCTTCTTTGTTGTGGAGATGGAATTTCAAACTTCACTGCAATGCCACATCCAAGGAACAAAGTAACGTGTGCTTGTGTGGGTGTGTTTTCAAACATTTAAAAGAACAACCATGAGAATTAACTGGGGGAGAACTTGCCGATTCAAAAGTATGTTTTGCCATTAAATCTCTCAGCATTGTACCTGTCTGCTAACGTTTGCAGGAGTGAACTGGTTGAGGATGGGCTGCAAGCCAGTAGAGTCCATAGCCGTTTTGTAATCTAGCTGATATTCCATGAATATGGTGATTGGAGTAAGCTTGTCTCTAAATTCGGAGTCGTCCTAAGGGAGAACAAAAATGGAGTTGCTTTTAGAAAACGAAAACTGCACGATTATACTGGAATGGAACTCAATCAAACATCTACTACAAAGGCTTTTGGCTACCTACCACCTTAATAGTGGATGGAATTAAACAAAACAACCAAGCAAATAAGAGGCAGCCATTTGTAAATTCTTTTGGAGAAAAGTGAAGGGCTGTAGCCATGAGGCAGAGCATTTGCTTTGCACGCAGAAGGTTCCAAGTTCGAGTCCTGGCACTCCAGACAGGGCTCTTCTCAATTCCGGACATCAATAACGTTAACCCTACATATAGCAAGAAGGCAGGAGGTGGGTGGGTTGCGGCCTTGTATGACTCTTACCCTTAAAAATGCCTGAAGTTCTTCACAGCTCATTCGACCCCCTTTGGGGACAGTCATGTTCTTTGAGTGGACCGGTTGCCTGTTGTGGAGAAACAGCGCCCTCCTGATGGCACCTTTTTGCTTCAGCTTGTCCAACAGCAGCTCCACATGGAAAGCTGCCGCCAAAGGAAAAGGCATTTTAGTCAAGCAATGCTCACGTTCTTGCCATGTCTTACTGCAGCAGCCGCAGGTAAAGCAGGATGCTGAGCTGGAAGAGATGCTGTGGCTGAGCAGTGGCTGAGAGAATCAGGACCATACAGGAAGGGGGCTGCTGACTAAGACTGCCAGCACAGGCTGCTAGCATCAGCACCCGTACCTCTACCCAGTTCTGCCAGCTAGTCAGCAACTATTTGCCTGCACGGCACTAACTCTCGTTGCTCTCTGTTTCCACTGCTGCCTCAGGTCTCCCAGATTATCTGTTGCTCAGTGGGGATGTTCCATTCCTGTCTCTTAACTTCCCAGCATGTCTCCTATTAGTGTCACAATTCCTTAGTGGCTGCTGCTAGGCCTTGTTCTCACAGACCAGGTACGAGGTGGTACATTCTGGCCTAGCCTTATCCCAACATGCTAGCTTTTTCTAAATGCAAATAATTTTTCCTCTGCAGAGGAACGTTTAATTTTTATTAAATTTTCTGTTTTACATTTTAAAATACTCATCTTACATCCCTCAGATATCAATGACTTCCCTTCTTCTCTTTCCATGGTTCATTTTACATATCATAAATCCCTGCATATTTTACAAAAACTATACTATTCAGTATTCCATTATTGCATCCATCAAAACTTTCTTACACTGTTGAATTTATCTTAATGCTGCCAGCATTTTCAGCTGTATATAATTATTTCCTATATATTCAATAAACGTTTTCCAATCCTCTCTAAGCGTATGTTCTTGTTTTTTTATTCCATATGTTAGGTCTGCAAGTTGTGCATATTCTGTCAACTTAAGTTGCCATTCTTCTTTGGTTGGGACCTCGCTCGTTTTCCATTTTTGGGCTAACAAAACATGGGCCACAGTAGTAGCATACATAAATAACATTTTTTGACACCTGGGAATTTCAGTCTGAATTATCCTCAACAGAAAGGACTCTGGGTTTTTTTGTTTTGTTTTTGTTTGGAAAGTACTTTTAAATGGGGACGCAGGTGGCGCTGTGGGTAAAACCTCAGTGCCTAGGACTTGCTGATTGTAAGGTCGGCGGTTCGAATCCCCGCAGCGGGGTGAGCTCCCGTCGTTCGGTCCCAGCTCCTGCCCACCTAGCAGTTCAAAAGCACCCTTACATGCAAGTAGATAAATAGGTACCGCTTTATAGCGGGAAGGTAAACGGCGTTTCTGTGTGCTGCGCTGGGGCTGGCTCGCCAGATGCAGCTTAGTCACGCTGGCCACGTGACCCGGAAGTGTCTTCGGACAGCGCTGGCTCCCGGCCTCTTGAGCGAGATGAGCGCGCAACCCTAGAGTCGGACACGACTGGCCCGTATGAGCAGGGGTACCTTTACCTTTCTTTTAAATATTTTTTTTCCAATTCATTATGGACAGAGGAACGTTTTATTCAACATATGAAATCTCGACTGCAGTTTAGAGTGATGCATCTCAGAAACAGGTTTATCAATGCAGCTGCTGTTTGTGGTAACTAGGTCTTCTTAGGCCAATATGGCATCTGTGCAAAATGTGCCCTACTCCAGACCCAGGAGCAATTACACACAAAGGGTTGCACCCAATGATGCCATCCTATTTGCACAAGGACTTCTCTTGCACAGCTGAACTTCCCTTTGCTCTCCATTCCCTGTGCCCCACTATCAAATCTGCTAGGGAGAGTTGGAGGAACCCCAGCAGAGATTGGGGAGGGGGGGTTCACAAGGGAAGGAGAAGGAGGGCAAGTTCCACAGAGCAAGTGGAAGTCTCTGTGCAAACAGGACAGCTCTACTGGATGCAACCGACTGTCACTTGGCCTTCTTCAACTCTCATCTCATTGTGTGCCACACAATGTTTACAACTTTGCCAGCCTGTAACTTACGGTTGTTCCCTGATACTTCCATGCTTCTTTAAACCACTCAGGGAACCCCATATCTGAGTCCAGATAGGCCCATTTTCCAGGGTTCTCTGACCGATTCTTCAGAGAAGGAGATTTTTGCAGCTAGCAGACCGCCACAAAGTTGTCTCCCATACACTGAGAAGAACAATGGTGTGAAGTCTGAGCCAGAAGATTTAAAAGGGGAATGGGTTTTGCACGTGTCTGATACCAGTGGGGCTTTGAATGGCTGAAGAAGTTTGACAATTTAAATTACTGCCACTGAACATCTGTTGACAATATGAGGAGAACCAAAGTGCATGGTAAGTAAATCTACTGAGGAACTTACTGAGGTCCCTGGGAAGACTTCCTTTGCCATCCGCTTTTAAGCAGAACTTTACTTTAAAACTGTTGGGGGAAATTAGAGAACATTTAAAAACAAAACACACTTTGTACCTGAAGGTCAAGCTACATCTATTGATCAGCAGAAGTGCAGTAGTGGCTTCCAGACCTACCCTTTCATGACTGTTAATAAGATCTAGTTGCATGTGCAGATTCCTTGGTCGGTGTTGTTGGGTTTAAAGAAACCTTAAAAAGTTCCCTCCACTGCTTCCTTCAGCTCCCGGTTATTAAATATACTTTCTTAAGAGCTTAGTTTATCTATTTTGGTAAGATTTTACTGCTATAACTGAGCTCTTATTTGGGCTGGTCCAAGACTTTTTGCTGCCTGAGGCAGAAACTCCCCAAATTCCATGTACTTAGGCCAACTGAATTGCCAGCTTAATATTTCAGCACCACATCTGAAGGCAGCAGGCTAGCCTGGGTGTATGTGTGTATGTGTGTGTGTGTGTGTGTGTGTGTGTGTGTGCAGGGCAGGCTGTGTAGCACACACAGCTATGTTCCTCAACACCTCATTGCTGCTGCCCATTACTGGTATGCCTCCCCCACCTAATGGTAAGGTCGGTCCTCACTCTTATAAAGGCAAAATGGAGTTTCCCATAAAATTGCACTTGGAGGAGTGCAAGAACTATGTTGGCCATTTAAAGAGTTGGCAAGACACGAAGCACAAGCAACTCACTTCCTTTCCGCATCCTTACAGGACTTGTCCATGGAGGCGGGGATGGCTAGAGCACATTCTCCCAATGGGGTGAACAGATTTCCACCCTTCCATTTAGATAGATCTGTTGATAGGCTCCTCCTGCTTCTGGAAAGCGCTTAGAATAGGACACGTTTGCAAAGCTGTTCATGCTTCAGATGGGACCGTATAACATTACACAATGAATCCACTTAAGTTTCCCACCTGGGAAGAGCCTTTGACCATTTTTTAAACAGCAAGGAAGGATTTGTATATATGCTTGCTTCTTTGGAGCATCCACAGGCTATGGACCTCGCCGAGGAGCAAACTGTGTCCTTTGCTCCCTTGCATAAGGCCAGGAAGTGTGGGGAAACACGTTCCCTTTGCCCCTTGTCTCTCATGGCCTCCTTTGATTGACTGAAGAGGCTCCCAATCCATTTCAAAATAAAAACGAGTCATCTTACCAAGAAACTTTCTGGCCATTTTCATTCAGTTCACAGGATTTGTCTTCCGGATTTAGAATGGTTGGGGTGACTTCTAGTCCAGCATTTACTGTAATGACTGGCCGTGCCCTTTGAAAAGAACCAAGTGGTAAGCAAAACAGGGTTACTGCATGAAAGAACCACCTTGTCCTCTTCTTTAGGCTCAGTAGGGCCTACCTTTGAGTAGACTTGTCCTAACTGGGGCTGGTGGATTATCTGCTACATTTGCATCAGCCTGGGGTCCTAATTGGGCCCTTCTGCAGGGAACAGACTGACCAGCCTGCACTGCCCCACGACTGTAGTAGTGACCTTATAGTAGCTACTCCCAGTCTGAACACCCCGGCAGTGGTCTTTCCTCTGGGGCTGCGCTTTCCAGTGCTGCAGTGGGGCCTTCATGGTGGGAGAGCTCCCCCACTGGTGGAGGTCACTGGAGACCTACAGACAGAATGTCCACCTAGTCCTATGGATCAGGGATTATGATTGCAAACCGGCTGATTGCAAACCATTCACTCTGCTGCTGCTTAAACCCAGATTTGTGATTGCATCCTAGTTCTTATGACTAAACCCCAGGATGGTAGCTGCTGCTAAGCTCAGCTGCTGGCCAGAGGTTAACATGCATGGAGGTAGCTGTGTGCAACATGGAGGAAATAACAGAACACCCAGAGAACAGAACATTGTGCCCCTTGCTTGCAGGCCACTGAGCAAGGAGGGAACTGTTATATCAGACGACACAGTGATTCTTCAAACAGCTCTTGTTTATTCAGAGGCCAGAACAGAACTGAAGGGCTCACTCAGCCTGCTTATATAGAGCTCCATTACACATAACTGTAACAACTTTCTAAAACTATCCAATCACTGAACGTCATTTTCAATCCCTTATTTGCATAACTATCTACAGTATCCCCCTGCTGGCCCAGGGTGAGAACTTCAGTACATAACAGGAACCATTCCTCCACCCTGTGGAGACCATGTTGCTAGAAAAAGGCAACACCTCTAACCGTGAAGCAAACTTTGCTCCTCAGTAAAATGCAAATATCATTGGGTTTTTCTGCTCTGACTTAATTTTGAGCACTTACCTGTATAAGGCAACTTTGTCAGCACCAAAAGCACCTACAATCAAGTCTGGAAATAGAATAAAATAATATTGTTTTTAGATTTGAGACTTTTTTTGAATGTTACACAATTCTCTGATTAGCAACAGGTCTCCAGTACATGAATTAGGAGCAAGTGCTTTTGCTGAAAGAGCAAGTAGGTAAACATTTAAATGTGGGTGCAAAAGGGTAAAGATTGGGGATGCTTATGGAACCTAAATCTGCTGGATTCTGTCTTAGATTTTAAGGAGCTGCTTTGCCAGACATGTTTACACAAACTCAAAAGGTTTGTAATGTCCATTATACTTCTAAGATATGTTTTTGGAATTTTGGTTGAACAGAGAGTTTTTGCTCTTTTTCCTGCCTATATCCAGTCACAAATATATCAAAAGCAAATAGAAAAATGAAAAGAAATTATTCCTCCTTCCACCAAATATTCCTGAAATTATTATTTCTCTTTGTTCAATTGTTAAGTGTTAAGGTTTGTGGTGTGCTCTGGTCCATGGGGTCACGAAGAGTCGGACACGACTAAACGACTAAACAACAACAAGGTTTGTGGGGTGTTGTGTGTGTGTGTGTGTGTGTGTGTGTGTGTGTGTGTGTATCTATCTTTTAAAAGTTATGTTTTTTTTTATTTTATTTTTTAATTCCACTATATTTCCATAGGAGAACAAATGGTGGGGGATTTTGCAAATATTCTGAAATAGTAGATATTCTGAAATCTGAAATTCATTCCAGAATACAAATGGTGTAGAATCCAAGGGATATCACAATGTCAGGATGCTAACAGAGTAGAACTGAGAGAATCTATTCATCCCTAGTAAAGATCAAAACCCTATGGAATCTCTTTTTCTTACGCAGTTCTGAACTGGGCTCCTCCCTGTGATATAAATGTTGGATTAGTTTACAAGATACAGGAACCGGCATTGCTATTAGATCACCTGGGTAGCCATTTTTGTCCACGTCGGTAGCTCCTTTCAGTGAGTAGCCAAAGCTTGGTGGCATTGTCTCAGAGGCCCATTGTCCTTCAAGGACCTGAGATGGCATCCCATTCAAACCTGTAGCTCTCCCATTGTAGATGTAAACCAGCCCTTTCTTGTCTTCTCCACCATAAGGGGCAGCAACTGCGATGTCTACAAGCCACAACAAGGAATATTTAGCATATCCAAATAGAAAGGAATCAAAATAAATACTCCTGATGATTCTGCAGTAACACATATGAGTCAGGGGTAGTATTGCTGGCTGATGCCCATTGGCAAAAGGCAGGGCCACCAATGATAGGCGGAGCCTGAGCCAATAACACACAGAGCCCACTAATTCCAGTTTCGTCCCCATCCCTCTCCCTGTTGAGTTCTACAAAAGCAGCACAGAGACTAAGGACAAGGACTGGTCCATCCCTGAGTTGGTTGGAGGAAGGCTGAAACGTGGTGAATGGCTGAATGAGGTCAGACTCAGGTTGGTGCAACAGGGTTCCACTTGTCCTAATGGACTAAAAGGTTCCCTTGGTAAAGGACCCCTGGATGGTTAAGTCCAGCCAAAGGCTGCAGCACTCATCTCGCTTTCAAGCCGAGGGAGCTGGCGTTTGTCCACAGACAGCTTTCTGGGTCATGTGGCCAGCATGACTAAACCGTTTCTGGCACAACAGGACACCGTGACGGAAACCAGAGTGCACGGAAATGCCGTTTACCTTTCTGCCACAACGGTACCTATTTATCTACTTGCACTGGTGTGCTTTCGAACTGCTAGGTTGGCAGGAGCTGGGACAGGGCAACAGGAGCTCACTCCATCATGTGGATTTGAATCGCTGACCTTCCAGTCAGCAAGCCCAAGAGGCTCAGTGGTTTAGACCACAGTGCCACCCGCGTCCCTAATGGACTAGCCTCCACTGAGTTGGAGGCTTTGTATTCTGTTCAGATCCGTGGACTTTTCCCTGTCTATTCAGTTTCGCACCATGCGGTTGACTGGGATGGACTCAGCAATATGAGGCAAATACCTCTGAGTCAATGAGGGTTTGAACCTCCTCAAAAAGGCTCAGCTTGCACAGGGATCTCTGCCACGGAAACACAAGAATGCTCCAAAATAAATTGTATTTGAAGTGTAAAGGCTTTCTGCTGTAGGTCTGAAAATTAAAGGTTAGAGGGCTTGGAGTGGGGAGGAAGTTTCTGTATAGTCTTGCCCACGCCTTTCCCAAATCCACTCTGTAGGGTCAGGAGAACCCACCAGAAAACATTTGTAGGGGGGGGGAGAGGGAAAATTGTTCTATCTGACAAGTAGAAGAAGAAGAAGAGTTTGGATTTGATATCCTGCTTTATCACTACCCGAAGGAGTCTCAAAGCGGCTAACATTCTCCTTTTCCTTCCTCCCCCACAAACACTCTGTGAGGTGAGTGGGGCTGAGAGACTTCAGAGATGTGTGACTAGCCCAAGGTCACCCAGCAGCTGCATGCGGAGGAGCAGAGATGCGAACCCGGTTCCCCAGATTACGGGTCTACTGCTCTTAACCACTACACCACACTGGCTCCTAGATACGCTTGTGTTGACAGAATGATCAAAACAGTGTAATATTGAATTCCTCCCAGTGACCCAACGCTTTACCATTGTAGCCGTCCTGATCAAGATCTCCCAAAGGTGCAATTGAACTGCTGAACCTTGCAAAAACCTCGAAGCCGTTCAGCTTCATGGCCTGACTCTGAAAGCCTCCAGTGGCTTGTTGGAGATAAACAGAAACTTGTCCCACTTCAAGAAGTTTGCCGTCAGAACCACGATCCATAAAGAGTGGGGCTCCTATGAGTAGATCTGTGTAACTGAAGAAAAAGAGAGAGGGGAAGAGATCAAGTATTTCAGTCATGGCAAAAATCCCTACGTTTAAGGTGCTTCTATATGAGTGCAACCTGGTCAGAGAGATATCACAAATGGGTCACTGGCAAAAAGGTTTCTTCAACTTATTATATTTTCTCCCACGAGTGCCATTGTGCTCATGTTCTGCCCACGTTCTCTAAAAGCACCTGGTTGGCCACTGTGAGAACCGGATGCTGGACTAGATGGGCCATTGGCCTGATCCAGAAGACTATTTCTATGTTCTTAAATCCAGATTAAAAGGGAAAGAAATATGGGCTGGCATTTTGATAGCAACAATGTAATGTGTATCCTGAAAAATATGTGCCTGCATGAGGAACCCCAGTCCTACAATAAACACCTGTCTAGAAACATTCGTAGAACTATAGGTTCACATCACCGACAGCTGCAGTCTAGCCAAGTGAAGTACTTTTAAGGTTCAAAGGTTTGGTGGTTTGAAAACGATGAAAATTGCAGGTGCCTAACACTGAGCAGATCATACCCACTGTATGTTTTTAGTTTTGTTCCTTTGGCTTAAGAATTTATAAAAGTGAAGATTCCAACAGTCCTGTGTGCATGCATAGAATCCATTCACCCACACAGTTAAGGGGTGTGTGGGCTTTGCCAGTGACAGCCTGCAGCGTTTTTCTGGAATGGCGTTCTGGAGGGGTCACTTTTCTGCAGGATGGGGAGGCAGAAAAGCTTCCCCATGTATGCAGTGTAGCCAATGGGTTGTAGCCAACTAAATTCTACTTAGGACTTAGCTATACAGCTGCAAACAAAACATTCTGTGTGTGTTGTAAAGTGCATTATACAAATGTGACACTAGGTGGTGATGGTGAGCTATGTCAAATGCAATATATTTTTCAAAACATTTAAAAACAAAAAAATCAAAGTGTTTTTTATATGTGTGTAGCTTTCACCTCAGAGTAGACTTGTTTAAATTACTGGGCCTAAGTTAACCATATCCATTAATTTCAGGGGATCTGCTCCGAGTATGAGTAACCATGGATATAACCCAAAAATTTCTGCCCAAAGACACTGAGAGCAATTAGAATGCCAGAAGACATTTAAATGTGTATGATTTAAAAGAAAATCAGCTAATCTATCCCACAAAACGAGCTGTGTCATTCATTCTCAAAAGGGCATCTGTCAGATATACGTAACGCAAGGAATGAGAGGGGAGGAAAGGGAAAAGAAAGGAAGAAGTGAGATAAAGAATTGAGGGAGTTGCATGGGAGAAAGGGATGATGAGACAAGATCTGTGCTTAGGAACCTCTAGAATTACAAGCACGCCACTCTCGAGGGATTCATAGCTGTACTATGTATAATGTCTTCACAGGACAATTAAGCCATGCATGAATGTTTAGAGACATTCTAAACAAGCACTCCAGATAAGATGCATGCAGGGACTCCAGCAGAACAAGCCAGCAGAAGAAACTCTGTGTGCGTCATTGGCTTTCAATTACTCTTTTCAAATCTTCTATTTTTATCCTAAACAATTTTTTTTTTTAAGGCAAGCAATTCTTTCCAGGAAGAATGAAAAAAGCATCACTTACTCATCCCCATTGATATCTGTGGCAGCTACAGAATATCCAAAATATGCAGCCATCTGGGAGATAAGATTAAACAGGAAAATGTTGCATTTTATGTAAATACTTCAGTACAGATATTTCGGAATTAGTGACTGCCCCCTCAATAAAAACTCCCTTGCTTCTCCTCATTTGCATCTGGGATGTGTTTAGCTGTACTGTATATGTTATTTTGGAATATTATTTCTTTCTTATAATAAAGGTTTTTTAAAAAAATCGTTTAAAAAAGGTCCCTTGCTATGCATTCTTTAAAGGCTTTGGATTACTCCTCCCACTTTTGCCTCTGGCTCCACCCACAACTGTCATGTAGTTCCTTTAAGCTAAAAGATGCCCCCCCCCCATTAATCAAGAAAGAGGATTTCTCTAACCAAAGAGCAGCTCTTTATTTCAAAATAATCTCGATTTCAGGTACACTTGGTCAACAACCATATATGCTGCCAGTTTGAACTGATGTGATCAGGGGTAGATTGCTTATGGTTATGTTTCCCTGTTCTTAAAACAACTCCCAAATCGACATTCTCTGATTTGCTGTAGGTTACTTTGTGAATTTATAACACCTAGATTCTACTAACCAATGATAGATAATGTAAATCAAAACATTGCAGAGAAAAGCATACCTGCTCTCCAGTAAAGTTATACATGGACGCCATGGTGTCTCCATTATAAATAGACACCTGCATGAAAAAGATAGAACTTAACATCTGCACTGCACAATATTTTAGAAGTTGCTGGGATAATACCAGCTGTTAAAAGTATATTGTGTAAGTTCCTTACCATGCCCAAAGTTCTTGCTGCTCTTGGGACCCCAGAGACAAAATCTGAAAATAAGAAAGACAACATGACCTATACGGATAGTAGTCAATGACCTTCAGAAACATTTTCCATTTAGGCCGCCATTCTGCCAATAGTTGCACATAGGTAAGGACTCTTGACTTTATCCGCTAGCAATGAGCTGCAAGAATGTAGCCTTAACTAGGTCCAGTGGTAAGCTAGGAGCTATGCAGAAACCCCACAGTCCCTAATAAAGAGTGCTTAAAATTTACCAAAGACTCGCAAAACAGGGATGAGAGGTGAGATATTGGCAAACAATAATGGAGCCGGGGCAAGCCAAATCATATCAAAGAGGGAGCAAAAGTTAATAAGCCATACCTTCTATGCCATCATGGCTGAAATCTCCCACAGCTACTGAATAACCTGTCAAACATGAAAGGGGTAATCATGACTTATCAATGCACATGACCTATTACAAATAAATATCAAGAGGCAGTTTTCCCTGCATCTATTCAGGTTTGTCAATCTGGCTGCTGATGTTTTAGCCATCCTAATTAGCTAATCCGATTCTCCTACTTTTGCTTGATGGGGAGGCGTAAGGAGGTGTTGGTGGCTCAGAGACCAGAGACAGAGAGGCTGCCAGCTTTGCAGGCAAGGGGTGACATAATTGAGGGGTGAGCCCTTTGGGGGTGCTGCAGGAAGAATGTAGTTGGTTTAGGGAGCCATGGACTCAAAAAGGTTGAAAACAAAGAACAAAGCTTTCCAAACTGTGTGTCACAACACATCAATGTGTTGGCTGCAGTGTGTAGGTGTGTTGTGTGAACACTCCCTGCGCTCCTTCTGGGGCTGGAAAGGGGTGAGTTTAACCTCTGGTTTGCTAGTAAAACTGTGTTGCGAAATGATGCATGTCTAAAAAGTGTGTCACCAATATGAAAAGTTTGGAAAGCTCTGCCCTAGAAACTCACCAAACCACCAACGTGTGAGGCAAGAGCAACTAGAAAGCAAAACAAACTTTGGAGAAACAAGCCATGGTTTACCTGATCATCTGCGGCACAGTTCATCATTAACGCGTGGTTTGTTTTACAAACCATGGCTTAAACAATTGCTTAGTATTATGGGTCATTCCCAAGGGCATTTTGGCACCTGCTTGGCACTAGCTTTCACTAATATCACTGGATGGGGAGGGAGGAATGAAGAACCTCAGACTCAAGTCTTACAAGGAACACAATTTTTACTAGTGTTTTTACTCTCAAGTAACCTACCCAAGTAGCTGTCATCGAAAGCAGCATTGGCCGACCGCGTTGCTAACTGGCTGTCATACTTGGTAGTGTAGACTTTAGGGTTGTATTTTGACACAATCTCAGCCACTTTATCAGAAATGAGCTGGCCTGTTGGGTACCAAGTCGAAGAGGGGACAAAAAACACAGACGGAACTATTAGACGATACTTGCAGTCTCCTAGTTCACATTAGAAAAGGACAAATGGAAGCAAATGGAGCTGGGAGTAAAAATAAGCAACTTGAAACAACTTCTTTATTAAATTGAGAGTTACTGAGGAGAAAGATTCTATAATGACATTAATCTGTTGCGTTAAAAAAATACAAAGAATCTCATGGCGCTTTGAAGAGGGAGGGTGGAATTCAACATAGCACAAAGGGGAATGAGGTGCACTCACATGACGGGAGTTTGCCTCTTCTGCTCCCCCTAAACCTGTTCTGGGGGTTCCTCCTAATCCCCTGAAGCAGATTCCAGGGTTGTGGGGTAAGGAGGAGGGGAGACCCACTGAGTGAGCAGAACTCATTCCTAACAAGTAACAACTTAGTCCAATCAAACCCCAATGTCCCGTATTTTTCGCACCATAGGACGCACCGGACAATAGGACGCACCTTGTTTTAGAGGGGGGAGAACAAGGAAAAAAAATTCTCCCCCTCTCTGCCCAGCGCCTCTTCAGCGAAGCGGCAGGAGGCGCTGCGCAGAGAGGGGGAGAATTTCCCCCTCTTGTTTTCCCGCTCTAAAACAAGGTGCCGTTTAAGGTGCGTTCAGGTGGCTACCTTGGAAGCCTGGAGAGCGAGAGGGGTCGGTGCGCACCGACCCCTCTCGCTCTCCAGGCTTCAGGTTCCTTTCGACCTGCTCTTTGGAGCTGGCGGGGGGAAGCCCACCACCAGCCCCAAAGAGCAGGTCAGGGAGCAGCGGAAAGGCGCAGCAGAGAGGCTGCTGCCATAGTCGTGCATCACCTCTCCAGCTGGGAGAGGGTCGCGGGGCTATGGCTTCTTTAGCCCCTCACGCGCTCTCCCAGCTGGAGAGGTGGCGCGTGGCTAAAGAGGCTCCTGCCATAGCCGCGCGTCACCTCTCCAGCCGGGAGAGGGTCGCGGGGCTATGGTGTCTTCACTCCATAGGACGCACACACATTTCCCCTTCATTTTTGAAGGGGGAAAAGTGCGTCCTATAGAGCAAAAAATACGGTATTTATTGCAGCATAAGCTTTCATAGGCAGGCATTTAATTCATCAACTACATGAAGAACCAAGTGCTAACCACACATTACATGCAAATATGTATAACTAAACCCCAGTGGAATCCACCCTGCTCCATCCCAGAAAAAGCCACTTTAGGATTTGAGCAGAAACACAGCCAGGGGAGATGCTTGGCCCTTTCCCTTCTATTACTCCAAACACCCCACAGCTGCTTTTCATCCTCACAGGATTCCAAATACATGCTTGCAAAGGCAGTGCCATAGCTACGGGGGCAAGCTGGTTTTTTTGCCCTAGGTGGAGCCTCCAGAGGGGCATCACTGAGGCAGCCGACCTCTCTGTGTGTATACGCAAATGCTTGTGTGTGGGGTGCCATATTGGGTCTTTGACCTGGGTGAAATAAAGCCTAGTTTTGCCCCTGGCAACGGTAAAGTCTTGCGAGGGTCAGGAAACCTGCAATGGGAAACGCAGCTGGGAGGGACAGTTTGAAGCAGAGAAACAGCAGACAGCGAAAGTCACCACTTCTCCACTCAAAATCGCCCCCTCTTCAATTAACCTTGCCAGAAAGGAAACTTGTTGCATATGGTTTATTTTGCTAGTGTCCTTAAGAGGACAGCAGAAGATTAAATAGAATGGCCAGCTTTTTAACAGCTGTGTCTCACCTTGCCAGTAAAAACTTCCAGGTCCTCCAAGAAGTACTCTATCTCCCTAGGGTAAGAGTGGAAGGAAAGAAAATATGTAAGTTTCTTCACTTGTAACGTCTAAGGCAGGGGACAGGGACCTTTTCGGCCTGGTGGAAGATAGACGGCTTAAATTCCCACCAACTGCTATTCTACACTCCCTCACAATTACCTTAACATTCCATACTTCAAGCAATCTTCTCCCCATCCCCCTCTGAATGCAAACCATAAACACAATTTAATACAAAAAAATTAACCTAACCGCAGTTCCTAGTTTGGACATATTGAGAAACTGTGGCTAGTTTAAACCAGGTAACGGATGCTTCCTGTCGAACCTTAAGGTTCCAGCAGGCTCGTTCCTGTAACACTAAACTATGGTTTAGTGCTATATCCAAACCAGGTAATTGTATTCAGTGCCCTTCAAAACTCTTTAAATCGCTACCCAACCCAATGCCCTCCGGATGTTGAGAACTACAACTTCCCATCATCCCTGACCATTGGCCGGGCTGGCTGGGGCTGAGGGCATAAACCATTCCTGTTTGTTTCTTTTTCCCCTCCATTATCTGGTAATCAGATATACTGCTTCTGCGTGTGGAGGTTCCGTTCTTTAAGTCAGAGATGGAGAAGCTGTGGCTTTTCAATTGTCGGTGGACTCCCAACTCCCATCAGCATGGCCAATGGTTGGGAATGATGGGAGTTGTAGTTTAGCAACACCTGAAATACCACAATTCCCCTATCCCTGCTTTAAGAATCTGCACCTGTTGTTGCACAGTGAAATAATGACAGAGACCAGTATATATATTCTGATTTTCATACTAATTAGTGTTGTTAAAAGACAAAGGCAAATGGAAATTCTTAAATATATTGTTATATTCTGTAGCAGAATTAACCCAGTAGGAGAGATAGCATCTCCTTCTTATTAATTCCTATTCTTCCCCGATTTGCTCACATGCCCTTTGAAATCCTGAGCTGAATAAATGATTTCTGTCTAGCAGGCTACATCCAGATGTATAAATCTAAGCCAACAGGAGCGAAGTGTAAGAAGCCCCTTGAAAAGCTGATCTGACAGATATGCCTTTATAGAATTGATTTCTACAGACTCTTTCTCCTTTGCTGTCAGGTACTGAAAAAGGAAGACATACAGTTACAGCTTCCCTACCTGAGTAAAGTCAATGCTGAATCCACCTTGACAAAAGCCCTGTCCTTCAGCGTCAATGCTTGCTGTGAGAACAAGAGAAATGGGAAACAATAGATGGTGAAGATGTTTAACACAAATCCCTGTGCATAATAGCAAAAAGACCCTGATCTGGAACAACCACTGCTCTAAGCCAAGCTGCCACATAACTTCCTCTTGTTCTCTTCAAATGGGGGGGGGGAGGTACTTAAGATGCTTACCTGGGAGATGCCCTACCTGGTGAACTGGTGCTGGCTCCCCATTGACCAGAAAGAGTCAGAGGTCATTTCCTCAAAAGAGAGAGCCTTTAAAAAGCTGAGCTGCCCTTGCAGGTGGGCTCCTCTATCACCAGGAAGCTGAAAATCCTCACTGCCTACTCACATGTAGACTAGAAGTATTATCTTTAATGGCTAGGCTAGGATTAGTCCAGTTTTTAGAGCCACAGTGCTCTGGCTTATTTTTGGTGGCAGCAAGTACCGTATCTTGAGACCCAGCTACAAGTACTGCAGGGCTGTTGTACAGTAGCCGAGCAAGCAAGCAGCTGTGAGAGGTTCTCCTGAGGGTCCTTCCTTCGCCACAAATAGCGAGCGACAATAGAGAGAAGGGGAAGGAGGGACCTCCTCTGCTTCCCTTGCCCCTCCTTCCTTCTCTCTCACTGGTGCTCCTCCTCAGCCACTGCCCACCGGTCTCACATAGTGTGGGTCTGTTGCCGCTTGGCCCCCTCCACCACCCTGACCTCTCCTCTCCCCCTCCCCACTCATGGGTGAGAGGCTCGAGCTGTGGCTCAAGTCGCCCTGAGAGCTGGCCGTCTACCCCCAATGGCCCTGCCTGTCTATGTGAGTCAAGGGGAAGAATGGAGCCTGGGTGGTGATGGAGACAGGAGGCAGAATGCAGGGAATCCCCACTCCACAAAGGGGGGGGGATTTGGTGCCATGAAAGTGTGTGTGCCCCCCAATCCCCACCCCGATGCGTACTTTATTTTGCCTGACCTGTCCTGTATTTTGCCCAACCCAAAGTGGCAGCTCCATCCCAGACCCATAGAATTGTAGCGTTTGAAGGGACCCTGAGGACCATCTAATCCCCTGCAGTGAGCACCAGTATCAGAAGGGGAGCTCTGCCCAGTCACCCCAGATGCAACCGAGCTATGTGTCTTGTGGCCTGCCATTGTGGCTTAGCCATTCCCCACCCCCCTTTTTAAGACTCAGTCCAGCCAGGCAGCAAAAAGAGGTTTAGTGGGGCTCTGGTCTGCTGATATGGTTCATTTGGCTTTGGGTCTCATAATCTGTGCAGGCCTGACCTACGCTGGTCAAAACAGAATTACCCCCCCCCCCATTGTTAAGGCCAACACAATCGATCCAAAGGGCTCTGCCTATTTCTAAACACGTTAAGTACGAAATCTAGCATGGCGAGTATATGCTGCTTTTCTATTTACAGATCAGCAACCTACAAACAGCTTTGAGATGTCGCCTGCCTTTAAAACAGGAAAAGAAAGGGAATTCCAGAGCTAATCCCTCGCATGCCACGAGACAGCCCAAGGAGGCTTTCTTCTGATGTGGTTAATCCCTCTGAATACAGAGCTTTATAACAGAAATGCTAACAGTCTCTTATCGGTATTGCGGTGTATAACAGAGTGCACATTTCACTCAGGGCATTCCGTGCCCCTTTGATCCTGGGAATGATTCTGGAATGCACTCTCTCTCTCTGGGCTCTTGCTGTTTAAATAGATTGTATGCGTGTGCACACAGGGGTGGAGGGTTAATTTTGATCCCCACTGGGGATGGACTAAATGCGTCTGTTCTAGTTCGGAAGTAATTTGGACCTACTGGGTTCCCCCTTTGTTTTAACAAAAACGGCTGGATATCCAAGTTTGGTGTTCCAGCTTAGCTGGAATAATAACCTTTGGTGACCTGGAAAGTCACAGGGGCTGTAGTAGATGGTTCTGCCCAAACAGGATGCAGCTTACATCCCAGCTGTTGGAGCCAAGCTACATGATCAGCAGCTCTGCATGATGTATCTGTTACTGGAACATATTGCAGGGTGCTTCCTCGAGTAAAAAACAACAACACACATTGTACATATAGACCAGTAACCTTTCCTAAGACCTACTAGTTGTTACATAGGCAAGGGGCTTGCTATTATTATTTTGCAAGAAAGCACCTAAACATTTATTCTCCTGATTGTAAAAACTTTCCTACCTTGCCAAAAAACAGGGTTCTTTTGGAGGATGGAGGAGTGGTCCTAGTACCCCTGTGGTTTGTTCTTTTCTGTACACACACCAAGGTCATGACTAGCCTTCAACAGAGGCTGTCATTTACACACACACACACACACACACACACACACACACACACATATATGAATGATACAGTGCCGAACCACGCATATAATGTCACACGTCATTTGGCCCTTAGCCTTCCCCGTCATTTGGCCCAGTTCCATCACAGTGACTCCACATTAAAAATGAACGAGAGAATCAAGCCCAACAGATCATTGCTATCATCATATTTCCACTTCTATCTTCAGATCCCTAAAAAAGTTCTACGTGCTGTGAAATTTGGAACCAGACTGAGCATTCAATTGATCTGCAGAGGATCCTATCGTCTCGCAGGTTTTGTTTTTGTATGACCACGCACCCTAGTTCTAGAACCACCAATGTGACACCTTAGCATTCTCAGATACCCCCTTCCCAAGTGCCTGCCAAGGTTTCCTGCCCCTCTGATTCCCCCCCCCCATGAGCTTTTTTTTTTTTAAAAAAAAACTTTTTGGTTGGTTGGTTGTGTATTTGGGGAGGGGGTAGCCTGTTTTCTTTGCTTTTGTGTTGTATTTGTTTTGGAATGTGTCTAGATGTTTTTCCTCTTATTTTGTGGGAGAAGGGTTCTGATCATCGCCAGTTTTTCATTTTGTGGTGACCGCAAGAGTTTCTTAGATTTCTATATATTCCCCTTGGGCCCCAAAAGGCTGGGGACGGCTGCCTTAAACCACTGTTGCAAAGATGAGGGTGTGGGTGTTTCTTCCACACACCTTAAAGTTGTGCTTATAATACGACAGCCCACAGAAAAGAGATTCAGGGCTGTAATTACAATAGCAAGACATTCTCCACATACTTGACCTGCAGGGAGCGTATTCAAAAGCTTTGGACCCGTCATGAAGATAACATGTTCCTACAGGTTCCCTCTCTGCTTTCTGTTCTGTTCTCCAGTGGTACAATGGGGCACACGCCTGTGGGAGAAGCAAAATGGCAGCATTTAGAAAGCTCTTTTTAAAAGTCCACCATTATACACGGTGCAGTGAGAGGCTTTTGAAAAGGGAACAAACGATGCTTGCCTCAGCCAACCATGGAGAGGGGAACGTCTGCCTTGTCTGCAGCTTAAGCAAAGTCACCCAGTCTGGTGAAGGCAAATGAGGTGCTTCACAAAGTGATTTGGCTGAAGTTTCACAAAAAAATAACAAGAAGGGAAGGAAAAGAAACGACGCAAGCAAAAACTTCCTCACGTCAGCTAACTTTCAGGGTGCCCTAGCCATTAATTTCCTAGCACCACCCAAGCACCAAGGCTATGTCAGCATCTGCCTCAGCCTGTAGCTCAGTTAAGCAACTGCTGCATGGAGGTGCTCAAATGATCCAAGCAAACACCTCAAGAAATGGGGGCTCATTGACTATGCAGTAAGGTGCTGGGCAGCTGGAGGAACTCTGTCTATCTAAAGGCCAAGGAGTGCACAAAGGTCTGTCAAACTGTGGTACCCTACATATATTGTTGGACTCCAACTCCCATCAGCCCAAGACACCACCGTCAATGGTTAGGGATACTGGGATCTGGAGTCTAGCAACAGCTGGAGAGCACGTCGACTGTCTCTGTGCTATAACATAGCCAAAAAATGTTGGGGCCTTTGAATTCCTCCAAACCTGTTGATGTTGCCCTCTTTATGTGTGAATGGTGCTGTTTTGGCTGTGTAAGAACGGGCACTCACAGAGGTCACTGTTAGCATATACAGATGCGGCACGGCAACAAAATGCTGAAGCGTGGAGTGCTTCTGTTGAGGGCTCCAGCTACTCCATGCCATCTCTCTGAGAAGACCCTGCTTTCCACCACCACAAACAAATAGTGAGTCTGCCCTTTTTTAGGCCGACTGAGCACCCCAAGTCTCTGTTGGGCTGTTTGGGTCCCCTACTCCCCCAGTTCTTTAATTTCTCTATTGATGTCTATGGGCATCTTCTCCATTTGAATCAGGAAGTGACCTATCAGACACTATCTTCTCTCACCTACTTAATTAAAAGGCTGCCTCCCCTCAGTCTCTCAACATCCCTTGGGACAGTTTGAGTGGATTCTGCCCGCCCACAACAATTCTGCTGGTTTTTTTGTACATTGGAATTACCCTGAGCTTGCTGATTCTACTCACTTATGAGTGGGTGGTGTACGAAGACGTTAACTGAAACTCAGTCAATTTGATTGATTGGCTCGTAAATAGATAGGATGATAATGGCATGCAATAAACACTGAAAATGAAGGCTTACCAAAATTTTGTCATCTTTCGATCTCACTGATGCGCCAAACCATTGATGGGACTTGAATTCCAGAGGATCGTTTTTCGCAAAATCTCTGTTGCCTAGAAGACAAACAACGCCATCACGGAGCTATGAAAATGACATTTCAGTGTTGCAACATCTGAACACTTCTCCTGGTATGCCCCGCAGAGGTACATGAATAACCATAGTTTAGAGGTCCCGGGCCGTAAGGAAGTCAGACTATCCTCCACCAGGGCCAGGGCCTTTTCAGTGATGGCTCTGACCTGGTGGAATGCTCTGTCCCATGAGATTAGGGCCCTTAAGGATTTAACCTCCTTCTGCCAGGCCTGTAAGACAGAGCTATTCTGCCTGGCCTTTAATTTGAATTCAGCCTGATCTTTTATTTCCCTTCCCTTCCCTTCCCCTCCCCTTTTATGAAGATCACCTACTCTGAGATCCCACAGCTAATTCTCCCCTGGCCTCCTCGCTGGCCCAAGTAGGACTAATTCAGCCAGCTAGCCCTGGTTACTATCTAATGCCAATTGGATGGATTTCCCCCAAAATGATTTTTGAACTTTGAATTTTATTGTTATTCATGCTTTTATACTGTATTTTATGCTGCTTCTATGTTGTATTACAATTAAGTGTTTTAAATTTGTTGTTAACCTCCCTGAGCCCGGTTTTCTGAACCGGGAAGGGCAGGGTATAAATGACTTTTTATTATTATTCTTTATTAATGAGCGCTATAATGTCTGAAGCGGGCTTGTCCCTTGCACTGAGTTACACATCATGTATCCATGCATCACTTTTTAAATTTGTTTACAAAATTAGTTTTCACGCTCCGTTAACAGCTGTCCCAGTAGATCTAAAATCATAATTAACAAAAAGGCTACACAGCAATAACACCCAGCAAAGGCCTGACCCAATAAGTGCGTCTTCAGCTGTCACAGGAAGTTCATTAATGTTGGTGCCGTCCATATCAAAGAGAGCTTTCCCCTTACTTGATTATTCTGCCCTTGATGTCTTGCAATGCACTGAACAGGTTCCACTGAAAAACAGGAGCCCAAGCCATATCCACACCACACATTTAAAGCACATGGCTTCCCCCAAAGAATCCTGGGAACTGTAGTTTGTCAAAGGTGCTGGGAATTTTAGCACTGCAAGAGCTAAACTACAGTTCCCAAGATTCTCTGGGGGAAGCCTTGACTGTTAAAGTGGTACCCATGTGTTTTAAATGTATGGTGCGCATGTGACCCTATGCAAGTATTCCACTTATGTGTTGATTAAACACATGAGAGGGAACAGCAAGAGTGCTGGGTCTCCACCCTATCTTCCACAAGTTGCAGAGCAAACTTATGCAGTTCAGAATTTCCTGCACTTACAGAGGCTCTCTGTGTGTGCTTTGGAATCTAGAGGTCTAAACTGTGCAGTTCACCCTCCAGCTTGTGAAAGGCAATGGGAATGGCTGCCAGGTGTGGTGGAGGTGGCAGAGCTTAGTGTGCTTATTCACATGTGTGAAGAAGGGCTACTCCACCTGAAGCATTTGCAAAACTGTTTGAAGTTCTCCTATCTGTGGTGTTTGAGTTGGCTCATTCGCACACCAAGGAAGCATGCATTCATCAAAAGTGATAATGTTGCCCATTGTCAGCCTACTAGATTACAAAGACCTGAATCACCTATTGAAAAAACACGGTATCTGTTAAAAGACTTGCATCTTCTTAAAGACAGAGTGGCACCTTAGAAGCTGTGCCTAGCTGTCTGGGACCAGTGATAATGGACAAGGTCTCCATGAGATGAGGATATGGCTCCATTCTAAAGGTCCTCATTATCTTGGTGGAAGTGACCCTCATAACTTGATCATCATGCTGGGAACATAGGAAGATGCCTTATAATAGATCAGACTATTTGGTCATCTACACCAGTGTTCCCAAACTTGGGTCTCCAGCTGTTTTTGGACTACAACTCCCATAATCCCTAGCAAGCAAGACCAGTGGTCAAGAATGATGGAAATTATAGTCTGAAAACAGCTGGAGGCCCAAGTTTAGGACACACTGATCTACACCAATACTGTTTACTCTCATGCAAATGTCTCTCTAGGGAAGGGATGGGGAACTTCCAGGTGGTACTGGACTCCAGCTTCCATCTGTCCCAGCCAGCATGGCTAATGGTCAAGGATGATGGGAGTTACAATCCCATCTGGAGGGTACCAGGTTCCCCATCCCTTAGGGAACCCTCTAGGGTCTCTGGCAGAGGTATTTCACATCACATACTATCTGATTCTTTTAACAGGAGATGCCAGGGGTTGAATTTGACAAGCAAAGCATGTGCTGTGCTACCACTGAACTATGGTTTCATCCCCAAAGGGAGTGCGTTCTCATAACAGCCCAACCAGAATCTACCCAGTTCAGGAGACAGATTGTGAAACCTTTCTTCCAACTTTCCCTAGTTGCTACTGAAGGATGATAAATAGCTCAGGCAGGGGTTAACGATCACCACTTTTCCCAATGAAAAGGAATAAATATAGGACCTTGTTAGGCCTGTTGAACTCTGCATTCACAGTATCTTTTGAATACATCAAGAGGGCCAATAAATATTTCCAGAACCTGCACCCTACCCCCAGGCTTGGCCAACAAGGCAGATGTCTGTGTGACTCACCAGCTACATCAGCTTAAATTTTTGTAATCTATCTCAAAAGATTAGCTTTTGACTAACAACACTGCACTTCCCACCCTGCTCTATGTCATCCACCAGGGTGACCAAGTCAATTTTTGTCCCCAAACCATTCTGAAGCCAAGACTGCCTGGAGTTGAGAAGATCTCACCTGCTCCAAAGCCTTGTTGACAAATTCTGGCACTGTTTCATTAGCTAAGCTGTGTTCACATTTCTCTGGACACAAACCACATAATATTCTGTGGGATATTCTCAAAGAATAGGGCTGCAGTATTGCATCTGTCCATGAAGATGGCCTTGCCAGAATACAACCCAAAGCAAGGCCATCTTCAAAGGTTATGCAAGCACCGCTTATCATGGTTCTCACGAAAACAAGAGAGCCATGATTAAGAATGATCCTCTCTTCTATGAGTCAGCAGCTCCACAGTAATTCAGCTCAACTGCTGGCGACTAATCTAAACTCCTTTGTATGCTATCCACCTTGTAAGGAAATCTCTGCCTCTTTAGGCGTATTATTGCTTCCTGTTCGGGAAATCCTGGAGAGAAAGGTTTCCGTCTTTGCTGGCAAGCTGAAACAAATAACAGCTGGTTTAAAATCTTAGTAGGATTTTATAACCATGCGGCAAAGGGATGGGTGAAGATCTACTACTTTACATTCCACACCGTCATGTGTACAAAATCTCTAGCAGGGAGCTAATGAGGGTCTTTTCAGACAAGAAGCAAAGCTCTCCATCTAATCATAAGGTGATTCATTTTTAATGCAGGAAGTTTACTTATAAGGTTGCAGAACTGGCTGTAGAAGATGCTAGAAGAAGAGTTTGGATTTGATATCCCGCTTTATCACTACCCGAAGGAGTCTCAAAGCGGCTAACATTCTCCTTTCCCTTCCTCCCCCACAACAAACATTCTGTGAGGTGAGTGGGGCTGAGAGACTTCAGAGAAGTGTGACTCGCCCAAGGTCACCCAGCAGCTGCATGTGGAGGAGTGGAGACGCGAACCCGGTTCCCCAGATTACGAGTCTACCACTCTCAACCACTACACCACAAAGATTTTGTAGTTCTTACAACACAATTCAGAAGGAAGGAAGGAAGTCCCTGGACATAATGCTCAGTGGGGCTAATTTCTAGGATAAGTGTGTACAGGTTTGTAGTCTCAATTTGTTAAACTGGAAGCGCAATTGACTGGTCTGAATGGCCATCGCCATATTTTCAGTTATTAGTCCCTTCTAGATGCATTGCCTTGATTGCACTTGTTTTAATTTGCCTTCGTATGTAATATTGTGATACACAATACAGCTTTGGCGGCCAGCTATATAAGGTGGGGGGAATTGAAACAGAATAAAATAACCCAAAAGGTGGCATTTCTTCACAAGTGCATTATGGACTGTTATCATTCTCCTATTCTTAATATAATATTGTAGGAGCCTGCTACTTTACAAACTGTACACTAATTGATATGTGTGTGCATGTGCGTGCGCATGCGTGCAAAATTAAGTAAAAATGTGTGATAAACTGGAGCATACTGAGGTATATGCTATGGTTGGTGAACATAATGAGCTCCATGAGGCTTCTGTGCTTTTTCTGGAGAGAAGCACTTAAAATAGCCCGTACTTAGTATTTCAAGAACGATTTTTCACTCGCTTCTGAACTTAAGATCTAACGTTTCAGTGCAAGCAAGCAAACAAAACAAAAGCTCTGTACCTAAGACCAGAAAGTGCAACTGAAATTTGCTAGAATCTTGGCATAAATGTAAGAGTACATTGCAATAGTTTTCAGATTTTCTGCCTGCAGGTGATGTTTTTTTTAACACTAGCCTCTTTGCTGAGGAATCTTAAGTCACACGGTGCCTGAGGAAGATTCTTGAACATGTCCTGGGCCGCACATTCAGTTTATGCATAGCTCTGGTTAGGTCTGGGCTTAGGGCTTCCTTTCCCCAGTGTGGACTGATGCTTCAGCTGAGATTCCTGCGTTTGCAGGGGGTTGGACTAAATGACCCTTGGGGTCCCTTCCAACTATACAAGTCTATGATTCTATGCCTTACTCTATACCGTATTGCTTTCTGGCTGGAGATTTCATTGTAGAGAAAGATCAGCCTTAGTTTGGGGAAGTTTGTCTGACTAACTTCCCAGCTGAGAAACTCTGGTTTCCCTGGGAGAGTTTGAAAACCAACACCTCTATTGGAAGCAAGCCTGATGATTGAAGAGCAAGAAAAAAGGTGCTTCTTCAAAAACATCTCTTCAGCTAATGGAAAGGCAAGACATGACCTGTTCCTCAAGGCGGTATGTTTCATCTGCTTTTTCAGTCAGTGGCAGGGAGTGGCCTGCATCACAGCTGCCGCTTTAGCTCCTTGCTTGGGGTGCTTCAAACGCCAATACTTCCAGAGCATATTGTTGTTCTTAATTAGTCACAATTATTTATGGAATTTATAACCC